ACCTAACGGAATCTGTTGTCATTGGACACCTGTCATGGTTGGGCATCCGCGCATAGAGGGCACGATTGTGTTTGGCTGTTGTCAAACGCATAGATGGCGAATGTCATGTCATTGGACACCTGTCATTGATGGGTTGGGCATCTCGCGCATAGATGGCGCCGATTTGTTTGGCGCTGTACAAACCTAACGGAATCTATGCGTCATTGGACAGCTGCCATTGATGGGTTGGGCATCTCGCGCATAGATGGCGCCGATGTCGCACCTGTCTGGTGTTGGCGTGGATTACGGGGGGCAACGTGTATACAGGGGTGCATCGAAAAATAGCGGATCGATGGACCGACGGTATATCGTTAATCGTATATAGCAAGGCGTGACCTAAATAGCGTGGTGGGCTCCTCTGGTCGGTCGGTCGGTCAGAATGTCTCATAACCTGTATACGATGTACTGTTATTATTATACAGGATGATACCGTTCAAAATGAAAATAGTATAGACATTCTGACAATTATTTCGCAAACCAGAGGTTATTTTCAATAAAACTACAATAATACGTTTAATATTTTATTGAAAATAGAAAAAACTACATAGGTAATATGATATTTGAAAACCAGTGGCGTAGACGTTCAACATTTCTCTGGGTACAGGAAAATTGTCCGTTGGTGTGGCATGGATTGGAATCAGCAACAAAGTTTCCAGTAGCACACGGTGTACCATCATACTTGCAAACATCAATAATGTTGGGAAAAACACCAAAAATGTGACATTTCTTGAGTAAAAGTTTGCTTTCTGTTCTCCACGAACGTAGACATAGTCAGCCGCATATATCACCTTATTTTTAATTATTTCATTTAACTTGGAATATTTAACGTCGCCGGAAGAATATTTAAGCCCATGGAAATTCTTCTCCAAGTAAGCGACAGTTTTCTTGTCTTTAGTATTTAATGTAGAAAAAGGTTGCGGAGGTGTAAAGATGTAATGACTTTTCTTGAAACCAATTTCGATACATAGTTCTTTAGGTACGAATAATCCGTCAACTGTAAAGCCTTGAATGTCAACAAACGCGATCCTCATGATGTCTGATGCGGAACTGAGAGTCCTTCGTTGCTTACGAGATGGTTTTAATAACTTCGGTGAGGGGGAAGTACTCGATTAAGCAGTCATGTATAATGATGCAGTAGGCCTTGGTGTTGGTTGGAAAGCCAGTATCGGCTTCGATATCCAATCTAACATCAACAGTTGATGATTTCATGGTTTCCTCTTGTTTGGAACAGTCAATAACAAACAAAGCGCGATTTTTAAAAGCGGTATAATCTAAAAGACATCTCTTCAGAGGAGAAGAAGAAGTTGTATAGCTGGTTTGAAAGTCGCTATAGTTGAAATGAGCTTCAGTAAAGTGATTGTTTGCAAAGTCCAATTGCATACGTTCGTTGGGATAGTATTCACCATTTAAAGATACTCGAATACTAGCAGCATTCACGTGATCAAACAGGGTAGGGTCTGAGGTTGCGACGTCACGTTTACCGGTTTGGAAACATACTATAATGAAACGTGGTCTTTCGATTGCGGTGCTAGTTTTAACTGACCATATTTCTCTTCTCGCATCTGCGGTAATTGCAGGCAGTTCATTCAGATCCCATTTTCTAAACGGTATAAGTATCGGCTTATCAGTTTGAATAGCTTTCAAAAGTTGTTCTTTCACATCATCACTCGGGTAAATATGTTTGATTTTCAGTTCCATGCTTTCAATAGTTATTTTCGCTGTCGTCGTCGTTCCAGTTTTTTCCTTGATAATGATACAATCGTTATCGTTTCTAGCTCTCACAAATCTGAGAGTTTGTCTGCCACACGTAATCATAGGATAATCATTGAAAATGTTGAAAATATGTTTAAGCGGCATTAGCAAGCTAAAAGACTTGTTATGTGTTGACGCCATTATAGGTGTTGAAGGATAGTTCCATCCAGCTATAGCCATATGATTTGAGTCTTCCTCACTGTAACATACGTAAGCTCGGACAGTACTTACAATACCAGGATCACGTACTGTTTCAACTTCTCTAGCGGATTCACTGTAAGTGCAAGAGTCAAATAGGAAGGCACCAAAGTTTGGAGCTAAAGATACATCTCCTGCTCCTCCTCCTCCAGTTATTTCAACTTTTCCTTTGATAGATAGAAGGGAAGCGTTCATTGCAAAGAACGAATCTACTTGATTGATGCTAAATTCCACAACATCATTACAATTAAATGACTTGATGAACGGCGTATAAGATCTATACTCAGCCTTGCGAATAGATTCATCGAATGCTGGAGATCGATATAGATCAAACATCGGAGAAGTATGTGATGCTGCTGCTGCTGCCTCCTCAGTTTTTCTCTTTT